GAATCTAACATGATGATATTCATAAACAATCGAAATTCTCTGTACAATATTATGCTAAACATTTACAGAATGGACTTCCTTATGTTGTGGTCATATTAGACTGTAATATTATTATTAAAGAAGTTCATTCAACAAACAACATAAAGCATATACATATCAAATTTATTGGGTTGAAGTTCTCATGTCAGTGCATGCATAAAACGATTTCCTAATATTTTTATATCCGAGATTGGCAGACAAAATTCTCTATAGTATATACTATATACTAATTTAATGAGTGGACTTCCTTGATTTAAGAACATATATACTAATGTATATTGAGGTACGCAAAGTTTAGTAGGTTAGAAGTTTAAAAGAGAGGATTTCCTTATGTTGTGGTCATATTAGACTAATAATATTTAAAACCATTCAACATAAAACATATCAAAATTATTAAGTTAAACTTTCTACTTCGGTGCATGAATATAACGTAATTTTGGGATATATGAGATTTACATAACATTTGAGAATGTACTGAATATAAAATCTTCAATATTTTACATTTTAATCAGCGATCTATCAGAAATACAGGGATTGGTTATACTGTAAAGCCTTCAGAACCCCTGAAATACTAAAACTGGGATGCAACAGGCAGTGAATATTTCATTTTGATTTAGTGTAGATGTTTTTTACATATTTTAAATTTTATTTGAATTCTTTTTATTTTGTATGGTCCATATGTTATATTTTCCACATACAGATAAATGAATACCTGAACTGATATTTTATGAGTTTCAGATTACTATATACAAAACAGATATCATAAATCATCATTGTCCGACTGTGTGCATTGAACATTCCCAACCGTAACTTAGGCTACCGGCCTCGCTTGACACTTCACAACAAAGGGCCTGTTAATTAATCTTGCACAGCTTCCTCCTCATCATCATCTTCTTCATCATCATAATTATTAATTGTCCATAGCAATGTAGTGAAAAAATATGAATTCAGGGTGTATTCAATAATAGACGTCTCATAATGCACGAAGTGTATTTCAAAGAATCTAGAAAACAAAAACTTTTCGAATATCTAAAATTTATCTTCCAGCGACAAAACAAGCTAGCTAGCCAATATGGGAAGCCATCTGTGCGAGCCAGGGTAAACTCTGGATCCGCGCTTGACATGTATTTAATGCTTAAAAAAGGTATATTTACAGTATATTTATTTATAGAAAATAATGTTGCATACTAGCACTATCAGGAATAAATATACAGATAAAGGCTCCCGAGTGGGCATAGACACAAAACCGCTTATAATTATTCAAATAGCACGCATCATTTGGCACTTTAGCAGCGTGTGCAAGCGACTCATTCGCTGTAATAGTGAAGCGGCTTTATTAAAAACTATTTTCTCCATGATAAAACGTCTCTTTGTTATTTTTTTCCAATTTCCAGACGGCTTCGCGGCCCTCTAAAAATGTTTCGCGGCCAAATTTGGGCCGCGGACCATAGTTTGCGGAACGTCGATCTAGAGGTACTGTTTCCTCAAATTTTCTCACCTCAGCTCCAACCATGGTGGGTCTGAGGTGCGTGTTGACTCACAAAATATCCTCCCCCGCCACCTTTCAAAACAGATCTGTGCCCTTCTCTGGGTATGACATTAAACTCTATCGAGTCGGCTCCTGATGTTTTTAGTATTTCGATCTTGTTTTTCATGTCAATTTTTCGTGATTATGACTATTCTGGATAAAGAATGTTTTGAGCAGAGGTGGATTCAAGGCCCGCCACCCCCCTCCCTTCATTTTTTAAGGAAAAAAAAAGGAAAAATATATTAAAATTTAAGTGTGAGAGTGTAATTTCCGGTCATCTAGAGATGCCCTAATCCTAAATTTTTTAACCTCAACCCCAACCACGATGGGGCTGAGGTGGGTGGTTCCTCGGTCTGTGAAAGTCCCTCCCTGGTTCACCTCTCTTTCGAATTCCTGGATCAGGTTGTTGATTTATTATATAATTATTGTTGCACTTATTTATAATACAATTTATATTGCAATTTTCACTTTATCCTCTCAAAACAGTCCTAAGAACGTTCAGATTGCGCTACTTCACAGGGGAATTCGCCCCCGGGACTCCACCGGGGTCATACGTAATTCGCATAACGGCTCCACAATCCCCACCCTTTCAAAATTCTGGCTACGTCCCTGCCTATCTTACAATATTTTCATATAATGATTAACGTCGAAGAAAGTACTGTACCGTACTGATAATATTTCTTACCGTAAGCTTTATGCGAAATTCAATTTGTTTAAAGCTACGTAGACATTTGTGCTTTTGAATAGTTTAAACAGTTCCCCACTCACGAATACGAATAGGCCTACGAATACATTAACACTTTATTGCAATTTGAAATAAAATAAAAATTGAAGTTTAACATTAAAAATACATAATAAAATATCAATATAAAATCTCAAATACAATCAAGAAACAACTAACAAATGGGTAAAGTGGAGGAAAACTAACAAGGGGCAGGGACAGTAAAAGTAAAGAGAAAAAAAGATAAAACATAAAAAGCCATGTATAGCCATTGGGACTTAAAACAGACAGGTAGCAAAAATCTAAGTTATTTTAGTTTTCAAATATGTTGATTTATTGATTCAATTTTTGCTACAGGGTATTTTACAGCATTTAAAAGTTTTTTTTTTTATTATTGAATTTCATAATTGGGCCATTTTTTTTTAAATTTATTGATTCAATTCTTGCTATTTTACAGTATATTTAAAATCATTGAAGATTTTAAAAAAAAAAGTCATTTCTATTACAGCTGAATTTTTTCATTGAGGCCATTTTTACCTACTTGTCATTTGTGGCCATTTTTACAAGGGCTATTATTACCGGGGCCTTTTTTTTCCCTACATTCTGCTCCGATTACAAAGAAAAGGAGACGATGTTGCTTATCAAAGGAATGAAACGTGTGTATTCGTTACATGTTGTTGTTACCTCAGTCAGCAATGTGGCGCTGCACTGCATCTGCCACGGGTCCCCAGGTGCTGCCTGGCTAAAATTTCCAATTTCCAAGTAACTATACGAATGTAACGCCTCTATTAAAGATACGGTACATGTATATGTCTCGGAAACTTTTAAAAGGTCATGGTAAAAGTATAGGGACTGTAGTAGGTCTGTAAATTGACGAGGAATATATTTGACCATTCTAATTTTTAATTGAATAACCTAATTTAAACCAACATCGGCCCATACCATCGATGTATTTGGCGAACAATGTGCTTTTGTCGAACAATGTGTTTTTGGCGAACAGATGTTATGGTTCTATATGGCGCATTCAGATTATGTACTCGGCATAAAATGTTTTCGTAACATTATGTTCTCGGCACATGTTCACATACCACACCGAACGAAAAAGTTCTTGAAATACGATCATTCAGATTGTAAAACCATGTTCTTGGCATTTATGCATGTGTAACATTTTGAGAGGAGCTCAGAGATACTGTAGGCCTAACTTTCCATTTTATTAAATTTGTCTCTTATACGATCCCAGGGTCTTCGTGGAAATCCCAAGATTGTCGGATACCTTTTGGGAAAGTTGCTTATTCCCAGATCCTTTGGTATTTTGTGCTTCTATCTCCCTTCTTCCCAAACTTCAACTACGCAATTCATTTCGATGACTGCACTCCATGTGCTTCCTCTGTCAGAACATGTTTTCAGCATTTTGTTTTGTTCCAAAACATTTAGGCCTACGGCATAAATTAATCAACAGAACAGTAGTATTATAAAAGCACATAGAAAATATTATTAGATTATCACTCTTATGTTCTAAAAAAATGATGAAGGGCGGTTTTTTTTAATTGGAACAATAGATTAGGCCTATTTCGCCTTTGTTTTTATCGATGAGGGAGGGGACTGTTTATATTGGTCTGTAATAGTAAATATTGTATAAAAACAGGTTTAATTTTATAGTTTTTTAAAGAAAATGTATTTAAAGTAACAAAATTGCATTGTTATTTTTATGCTGTTGAAATAATTGATGCGGAAAAAAAAATTTATATTTCCCGAATTTTTGACGCTTGCGGAAGTGATAATCTAATAAATTTTTATATTTGCCCTAACATGTGTACAGTGCGCCTAGGAAGAATGTCAAAGCAGGTCAGGTCACGTCAGTGAAGCCCGCCCACACAGCAAAATTCTAAATTCTAACCAAGAAAAAATATTCTTGTTTCAAGAATGGTTTACTTAAAATAAGGAAATTATTTCTCATTGAGATTTAAAACCACTCAAAACAAGAAACATTTTACTAAGAAAGACACAGTTTTCTTAAAACAAGATTCACGATATTCTTGAAAATACTTATTTTTAGAAATATTTGACTTAAAATAAGAATTAAGTATCATAATTTCTTATTGAGAAATAATATGCTTAAAACAAGAATCGCAATATTCTTGAAAATACTTATTTTAAGAAATATTTCTTTTAAAATAAGAAGGCAATATTATGGAAATCTTATCAAGAATATTTTTGCTTAAAAAAGGTTCGCAATATTCTTGAAAATACTTATTCTGAGAAATATTTTACTCAAAATAAAAATTCAATATTATGGAATTCTCATCAAGAATTTTTTCGCAGAAAACAAGATTCATGATATTCTTGAAAATACTTATTCTAAGAAACATTCTGCTTAAAATAAGAAGCCAATATTATACTATCCTTATCAAGAATATTGTTGCTTAAAACAAGATTCGCAATATTCTTGAAAATACTTATTATAAGAAATGCTTTACTTAAAGTAAGAAGCCAATATTGCATGATCCTTATCAAGAATATTTTTTCTTGAAACAAGAAACACAATATTCTTGGAGATACTTCCCGAGAAATATTTTACTTAAAACAAGAAGCCAATATCGCATCATCCTTATCAAGAATATTGTTGCTTAAAACAAGATTCGCGATATTCTAGAAAATACTTATTCTAAGAAACATTTTACTTAAAATAAGAAGCAACATTAATTCAAGCAGTTTACCTTACTTATTTAATGCATATCAATTATTAATCACATTTTTGATCATAGGTAGACTATTTTATGTCCATTCAATTAAAATTTGTATTGTATAAAATAAAAGACACAATATTTGCTTAATTAAATTATTAAAAGATTACAAGATAATTAACTTTCAAATACATTTCCTACATCCATAAAATGTGTTGTAAGCACAATGTCTTCATGTTTAGTAACTCCTTCCTTCAACATATTCTTCTATAATATCATCAATATCATATTTAACAGGAACGTAGTTGTTACCACATTCATCATTCTTTAAATGAAATACATTATAATCAACTAAACTTTCGGTCGCGTAAAAAGAAAATCTGTGGGTGTCTGTTACTAGATAGGCCTGATAACTGTATTCAAAACATACAGTGTTCCATAAGTCTACTCCAAAATATACATACTCTTGTATTAACAATATTTGTGATATTGCACCAAAAACAGGAATTTCTGGATCACCAGTTGTACCAACAGCAACAATAGCACCCTTTTTATATGTTGTACCATACAACTTTATCCAACTTGTTTTAAAGACATTGTTTAACTGTATTCCAGGTAACAGACCTAATTCGTCAAACTTATTGCGCGGGTTATTACAGCTCAACTGATCCACTTTCCTTACAACTCCGTATGTTTTTTCACTTGAAAACAGGGGGTGCGAGTCTGTTGGCTCATTTGAATTACCAAAATTGCAACAATCATTAAACTGATGACGCTTAGCAAGTGACATTGTCAAATTCTTAAAGTTTTGCTTTCTAGCAAGTTCTTTAAAGTACGGTAGTTATGTGCCGATTCAAAGCTAAAACATGATGAACGAACCATTGGTCCAAGCATCCGTATCGTAGATGGAATATGTATGAGATAATGTTGCTTTGGTGTTATATTAACATCTGGAAACAGTTCTGTGAAGTTGAATAAATGTTCTTTAATTAAATGTTTTAAATATTGGATGCTTTCAATCTTAATAACTGGTGAAAATATTAACTGGACTATTTGAATCAGCTCAATAAGAAAGGTATAGTGACGACTGCTTTTGTCTACTAAAGGTCCAATAATAAAAGGCAACAAACGTAGAAATAAATGAGCCTGGGCTGCTTTGTATTCCAAACCTATCTATACCAAAAAATACAGATTCTTTAAGTGGCCCCGGTTTATCAGAGACTTCTGAATAGCCATAGGCATGATTAGCAATAGCACCATTGATTTGATTTAATGTAATGCTACCAGACTGTATAAAGTGCAATAATACAAATCTAACTTCATACTGGACTGTTCCTTCAAGTAACGTATGCATAATATCTTGGGGAAGCTGCTTTGTCACATCAAATGTTGGAAGCTCACATAATGCACTTCTCACATTAATTCCGTAACTAGTTTGCAAATCTTTCTTTACAAATTTTGTAGATGCTTGTTCAATTTCAGAGCATTGCCTGTTATAATTTTGTCTTGTCCTAAGTCTGAAGGATTCCTCAACAAAATTAGATTGCATCTCATCAAACTCACACATACAATGTCGACATTTTTGAAATGCTACCCCAACTCCTTCTTTGAATCCACCCAAATAATGTTGACCAAGGGTATCCCCAGCACACATTAATACTTTGCCATAGATCTTCTGGTTTACGCCATTAATCAACATTGTACGTCCGTTATACAGCAACTGCAAATCTTCTATGATCGGCCTCATAATACAGTTTATTCCATATTTCTTAACTAATTTTGCATTAGCAATTGCCAATAATCGAACAGCACACCGCTTGGACCTGAACTTTGGACTTATGTTACCGATTGTGTAATAGTAAAGGTCTAATTTATGTGTACCTGCTTTGCTTCCAAGAGGATTGCACACTTCTAACTCATCATGGTATAGTATAATCAGAAACGACTTTCTATCTTCATCAAAAAAATTGTCTCTTTGATAAATACTTCCATCATGCATATCATAGAACACTCCTGATTTATGCATATTTGGCTTTTTCAGAACCATGGCTGATATCCTGTCATTTAATAGCAGTTGTTGCAAGCTTTCTATAATAGGAATATAAAAGAAAGACTCCGCTTTTTCACAAATAACTCTTTTCGCTCCTTTTTTTTTTCGAACAAACTTTGTCCCAATTGTAATCTCTTTGTAATCAACAAAATTAAAATGTTCCTTTATGAACTTAGTTTGTAGTGCCTCAGTGTCCATACAATTAAAAGGATCTGGTGTAGTTTTAAACAAATCTTTGACAATATCCTTATGTTCACAACCTTCAAGAGCAGTCAGCACTTCACTTTCAACAGAGGACAGAACTTGGCTAATTAAACTACGTGTACTGTGAATGATAGATTCTACTGCAACCTGTAACAAAAGAGACATACATTGTAGTACCTTATACCTCTATGGTACCATGTTAATATAGTATAATGCATTTTGTTGTGTTTGTTAAGAGTTAAATAGAAATTTTAAAAGATTTTGTTTTGTATGTGATGCTTATAATGGACCGGGTCATTCTGGAATGGGACAGTTCGGCAAAAAATGACCTGAAATGTGGTAAAGAGTAGTGAAGGGCAAAATAGATTACAGAATTAATGATGATAACTTGTCAATTAAAGTTTTTTATTTCCATACATATCTTTTAAATGCGGCATAAATTATAAAGTAATTTAATTATCTTACATTGAGATAGGCCTAGGCCTACGTTTATTTTTAAAATCCTAGTCAATGATGTCAATATTTTAGTTCCAATGATTTATTCCAAACCCCAATGATTATATAAATGTGCCTCTCTTATTACTAAGTACTCTCATTCCTCTATTCTAATTCTACCTTCTACTTTAGATTACAGTGCCTGTGCCTAATTGGTTTGGAGTTGTTTAATTTCCTCAGGGGCGGACCCAGGATTTTTTGAGCCGGGGGGAGGGGGGCTCAAATAATATTATCATCATCGTTATTATTCTTATAATAAACTTAGGATAAACTATAACCATAGGCCTAGGCCTAATTGTGAAAATTTATTTTTTATATTTTCGAAAGTGGGCCTGCCGGGGGTAGGGGGGGGGGGGCGAGCGCCTGTTGCCTGTTGCTTATTTATCTCACTTCGTTAGATCAAACATAGCCTAGCCCTTAGGCCGGCCTAGAACTACCTAGGCCTAGCCTAGACTAGGCCTTCCTAGGCTAGCCTTAAGTAAGAGAACTGTATCACAAAATAATAATTAGGCATTAAATAGGCCTGGGCCTGGGCCCAGCAACAAAACAAGTCATTTCGATTTTCTCTTACCTGGGGAATCTTGTTTCTTTACTTGAGCTTCATTAAAAAGAAAGCAGCACTTTTCTTAAGAAAAAGTAGTTGACTGACTTTTATGTATAGGTCTTGGATATATCGTAGATAGAGGCTCTGTACGTTCTGTAATGGCCCACTTAGGGGAGGTCATTCCTTGTCGAGCAATGTCCTTTCCAGATGCTTGTGATTGGAGGTCAGTCAACATTTCCCATTATCGCCAGTCCACTTGCCCATTCATCATCCACGATGGCTCCAAAGTTGAAGTAATTGCATTCCGTAGGGTTTGTTTACCAGACGCGAAATATTGATTTTCTTTAACTAAACTGAATCGCATGAGTATTGTGACCATCCGACTGTCTGGATACAACGGCTAGCTTTAACTTTGCCCAAATCCTTTGGAAATCAAAAATACCAGTACACGTCCCATTCAATTTTCAAACTGTTTTTGGACCAACGTGAGCATTGCAATCAAACAATTTGATTTTTTCCCCGTTTTATTGGATATATATATATATTTTTTTGGATTCAATAATCTTCTATCATGTCGAAAGACTTGTTGTCAAAAATTCGAGCTATATATGTTGAAGTTGCAAACATGCTAACAGGTAAGAATTGTAATACTGTATAATTATTATTATTCTAATTTATAAACTGAGGCCCCTACGAATAAGTTACAATTGTGTAAGCATGTAAGTGAGCTAAGTGGGCTCGGCCTGGCCTGCCTACTAAATAGCCCTGGCCATAGTATAGGCCGCTGTGGCTGTGCTAGCTAGACTGTTAATTAGCAACAATTCTGTATCTAAAAAATTCAGTTAGGGTGATATAAATTATATTTTTATATAGGCTAGCAGTACTACTAGTAGTACTATCTATGAGTCTATATATCGTACTAAGCTTACTGAGATAATGATACCAGTATTTAAACAAGCCTGGCCTAGCCCCACATTGGCCTAGGCCTATTGTATTGGGAAAACACTCAACATTATTTAAAAAAAAAATTATTAGCTCATGACAGCAACATTACAGATTGATGAATATTAAAATAAGTTAATATTGAATAGGCTTAGGCTTAAGCAAAATAGTATTTAGCTACTATAACACAGGCCTAGCCACACTTTTTTTTAGATATGGCGAGACTATAATTAAAAATAAAATTTTATTTTTGGCCAATTAACGCACATGCCGCAACCAAAAAATGAAAATTTCAGAAAAAAATTAAAGTTTTTTTACATTTTTTTATTATGCCCTTCACTGCCTTGAAATTTTCAGAGATAAAATATGTATATTTCTTCATAATTAAATAAATTTTAAGCATATATTTAACCATCTTATTTTACATTCACCAATAAAATTTTATTTTTATTTTCACCAATAAAATGTTATTTTTATTTTATCCTCCATCTGGATGTTTATGGCAAAGCTATTTGCTAGATAAGAAAACAAAATTTTAGTTTTTTTTATTCTGTCCTCCCATGATCTTTAAAAAAATAAGTTCGCTAAACAAAGAATAAAAAAGTCTAGCTTATTTGTTAAAAAAGTTATTTTTAATTTAATTTAATTATTGCATTAGTTGGCATGTTTGTGTACCATATTGTAGTCTCTCTCAAACTATGAAATTATCATAGAAAATAAAAAAGAATTTGTCCCTAAAAAAAAAAAAAATATTTTAATCTCTTTTCAAATCAACTTTTAATTCAGACGTGATGAAGTGATGATAAACTACCCAAGTCAGTGAGCTGTGCTTAACCAACAATATTGAAATATTATGATTTGATGCAATTTCTTTTCCTCATGTCATTTAAAATAAAAAATCATAAATGCATACCGAAGGGTTGTATCATAATTTTTTTTTGTTCTTAAAAGACTATAACTATTATATGATTTTCTTAAATAAATTTGTTTACAATTCATGTTTTTAACACAGGAAAATCACTTATCATATACAGTAATTGAAATTGCACTAGCTAGCAATAAACTTTGTCTAGTTTATGCACTATTTTTCTGTCATAAAATAAATATACATAAAAATAAGTTAACTAGGATTCAAGAATACAAGGATACTTTATTCATCCCACAAAGGAGAAATTTCATGGCTGGAATACAAAAATGTAACAATCTTGAACATTTAACTGATAGTGATGATAATAATAATAATAATAATAATAATAATAATAATAATAATAATAATAATAGATATTTTAAATCCAGTATTTTGTAGTAAATTTAGGGGGGGGGGGGTTTTCATTTTATTTTTATGGAATTAGAACTTTCAATAACTTCAATAAGCATATTATTGCATTGTTTATTATACATTTATATAACATTGGAGTATAAAAATATTGGAAAGTAATATAACAAAGATTTCTTCTTTTGAAGTTTCAAATATTAATCAATTGCAGTTTAAAATATACCAAAATAATTTTCATTGTTTTAGATCATTGAAGAAGTCCGCAGAATTCTTGGGAAGGATGCAGAAGGCTCCCCAAGAAGATTTACAGACTTATGCTTAAATCGGCTTTATACCAAAATAGATACTATGGAATGACGAAGAGAAATACTGCTCCTCCAACCAAACCCACTACTGGTATGATTTATATTTTCTCTTAATAATATAACTATTCTAAATACTTGTATTGAGTGGTAGCGGGTCTCTTATGTATGAATACAGAGTACTGTACTTGTGCTGATAAGCATGCCTCTCCAATTTCATTGCCTTCCAAAAGGCCTGCTTTCACCTGTGGTTGAGCTGGTATTTGCTTATTAACATACCAGACATAATTATATCCTGTGAATGTATATAAATGTTTATATCTTAGGTTTTGCTTACTAATTTTGTATCTCATTTGAATATATA